GGAAAACACTAGGTTTTTTCATGATTGAGAGCTATGTATCAAAGGTAAGAAGATAAGGGGGAAAGAGAGAATAAGGAGGTAACTTCTACTGTTTACATTTTTTACTTTGGAATTGCTTTTAAATTATTTTTACTAAGTTGTAACTTGCATGAAATAATAGTACAAATAAAGGGGGAAAATGCACATGACCTGCACATAGAAGCTAATGATGTATCTGCCATTTTGATCAAAACATAGAACCTTCTAGCAGTCTAGAAACTATTGCTGTGGATTCATTTTTCTAGTTTTTAACTTTATGCAAATGGAACTACATAGTATATGTTCTTTCATAGGTATGGCTGTTGGAAAGTTATTCAGACTACAATTCCTTTGTTGATAGTACAATAAAACTTGTATAAGAGTGCTTCTCAGGGCTGGGAAGGTGGCTCAGTGGTAGAGCGCTTGCCTTGCATGTATGAGGCCCTGAGTTCAATTCCTCAGCACCACATAAGCAGGAAAAAAAGCCGGAAGTGGTGCTGTGGCTCAAGTGGTAGAGCGCTAGCCTTGAGCTGAAGAGCTAAGGGACAGCACTCAGGCCCCACAACTGGAACCCCCCCCTAAAAAAAGAGTGCTTTTCAGCTTTTCCCTATAGCAAGTTGGGGGTGGGGAATCCTTGACAGTATCACAGAGATTATCACTTGTCCATTTATTGAAAAAAGAATTTGTTGAGCCTCTACCATGTATCTGCACCTCTCCAGGCATCAGAGAGATAGACATGAAATGGTCCCTGCCTCTCATGGAGCTTACTGACTGTGATGTATTTTTTTCCTGGGCAGCCAAAAAAGTCTCATGACCACCACTATACATAGAACTAGCCTGAGTCCTAGAACCACTTTCCCAAATACCTGAATGTGGATATCTCAGTAATTTAAACACTTTTAGGAATTTCAAATCATAGAAAAGTTGGGAAACTCTAGAGGAGGTAAAGAGTCACCCAGAAAGGAGTGGTATGGCTAGATCTAGAACCCTATGATCCTGACCCTGCAGTCTAAAATGTTCTCCAGGCTATATAACACTGCTTTTTAACAATAAGATCTCCAATCTCCTTCAAACTGGATCAGGGTAGTATTTGAGTTTCCTCTGGAGCTTATTTAATTCTGAGGCTTTCTAGACATTCCACCAAATCAATGGGAAAACCTTGGAGGGTAAAGCAGAAGAGACTGGAAAGATCAAGGTCCCTCTTCTGAAAGTAAGGAAGGGTAATCAAGGTGGGGTTTGGGGGGGACCTAAACAAATGTTACTTCCTATACCAATTTACAGAAGGGGAGAGTTCACAGGAGCCACATTATCTGGTCTGTGAAATCACCAATATGGTGTTCAGAAAACTGGATTTCAATGTATTTTACATCCAGGAACTGCATCTCTGTTGAAAACCCATGAGATCTAAACTACAAATTTAATTATTTGAATAGTAGAGCCCAATGGTCGCTTTAAATTCAGTAACTCAGGAATAAGCTGAGACTATAAGGGGTTAGTTACCCTATTTCTTGGCATGATTATTTCATGGTGTATTTTTTTTGCCTAAATCTGTGAGGGCTTGCCATAGGCCAGGAACCTGTATTTGCTAAGTTATTTCATTCTCACAAAAAAACACCTCATCCTTTGTGTACATTTATCTGTTTGCTTCTGTTCAACCCCCTCCTCCCAAATACAAACTTCCTTTTATTGGCTCATCTCCTAAAACCATGTCCCAAAGTCCTGGTCATTAACTCCTGAGCCCCAATCTCAGCCCTTCCACTAATTTACTCCTTAGATTCTCAACATCTTACTTTCCAGTTTTTCCATCACCATTTTATCCTATATGAAGCATAAGCCAAAACTACTTTGATCATACTGAGTCTTCCTCACTTGAGGGCAAGATTTCACTGAAGGATTTCTTTCATGAGTGAGCTCATTTAGTTAGCCTGTATTACTCACTCCTTGAAGGACTATCTGCTGGTCTGCTTACACCTTTCTTTTTAAATTTCCACAGGAAGGGATAGGTGAACACCTATATTGCACCACTGGCAAAGCCAAAGTGGATCTGTGTGAGAGTGTTTCAGGAAGTTGCTGGATATGAATAGCCAGATAATCTGGGAGCCATATCTGAACACTCACATGAAGTTTACCTTGTAAACTCAGTGTGCAATTCCCTGGGCATTCCCTAGGGTTGAAGGAAGAATGAGTTTGCTGATACCTGAATTTTGAAAGAGAAGGAAGCTTGGGAATCTAAGGGGGGAGGGGGCTCATAGCCTTTAGAACTACAAATCAAAATTGAGCTAATGAAAGGGAAGTGATGGCTGGCTTTTGAATGGGTTTCCCCAGCTTCACACAGAAAATGATCTTCATTACACTTGATGTATGCATCACCAGAACAAGTAAGAGGTGGAAAAAGAGGTGGTTCTTCCTGTATATTTATGCTAAATGCTTCAGTAGCCTACTTGAGGGGAGAGGAGGAGGCAGAGAAAACTTCTCCAACCCAGTCCAATTACAAAAGGTAAGTATTTTCCCCGTGTCACAACAAACTAGAAGGGCAAGAAGGTGAAATAAAGGTCCTTCTTTGAACTAAATACTTAATGAACTCACTCAGGGAAAGAAGGAGAAAGATAGGTGAACCTTTTGAAGTCTGGAAGGAAGGGCCAACTTCTTTTTTTCTCCTGGCTTCCAGCATAGGTGGCCCTGGTTTCCTTTGCTGTATATTTCAAAGAGGCATCCTCACTTCTTAGCAGCTGGTTTTGGATCAATTATACCATCATCATGCTTCATACATGTGAGATGTCTGGGCCTGACCCTAGGGGACATTTCTTCCTCCATGCTGAAATTACTCTTGATTCCTAACTCAACCCCAACTTCTTCCAAACCTCCTGAGTATTGCTGGAAGTGGGAGGTGCTCATAGGGGCCCTTTTGCAATTCTGTTGATTTCAAATTCTTGCCTCTAATAGTCCTTCCAAATCTAGCACTGGATCTCTCACCCTAGGAAATGATTTTACTACTAGGAACTAATTTTTTTTCTTTTTTTGTCGGTTGTGGGGCCTGAACTCTGGGCCTGGGCACTGTCCCTCAGCTCTACAGCTCCAGGCTAGCACTCTACCACTTGAGCAGTGCTTATGTGGTGCTGAGGAATCGAACCCAGGGCCTCATACATGCAAGGCAGGTACTCTACCACTGAGCCACCTTCCCAGACCCTAGGAACTAATTTCTGACTAGATGTTACTACTAGAGACACACTAGCCTCCTGTCTTCCCAGATTGGAAAATGTGAACTCTCATAATATCAGATTAAGACTTTGCATAGGTAGTCTCCCTCTATCTAACCCCCCCCCACACACAAAAATGACAGATATTAGAATCCCTTTTCACAGATGAGGAAACTGAGGCTCCAAGAGTGGAAGGGGTAGCTCTGCCCCAGGAGCTACAGGCTGGTGGGTGTGAGGTCGCCTTTTTCCCTATAGTACCTACCAAGTCCAAATGCCCCTTCAGGGCCCCTGGGGAGATGTGGCTGAAACTTCCTACAATGCGGAAAGGCCTAAGGCTTCCTTCCAGGCCAGGCCTGAGTGGAAAAAAACGACTTTCCTGCAGTGGCTATGTCAGCTCCTTCTCCATTCGGCGCAAGACTCGGGCCACAGCGGCCAGTGACCTTGCCTTGGCAAAGTGCATCTGAGGCTCCAGGCACTGCCCATGATCAGCAACTGCGAACAAACCAGAAAGGGGAACACGCAGCTCCACGGCGCACCCCCCACACCCACCCCTACACCCTCAGCCTCAGGCCAAGCTTTGCTCTCTGTGCGACAAAAGGGTCCCCCCATAGTCCCAAGTTTTGCCTCCAAAGCCGAGGCTCTTTGAGTTTCTGGGTTTAAGCTGTGGAGCAGCTAGCTAGCTAAGCGACCCAGGTCAGATGCTCTCCCGCGGCCTGGCCAGGTTGGGAGCTGGTGCAGCCCGGCTGCGGGGGGGAGCTCCACTCCCCGGCGACTCCTTCTGGCCATTCACCAGCCGCTTCCAAGTGTCCAATCCCCCCCCCGACCTCCCGCCGGGGCCTCCTGCGCCCCTTGTCCACGGCTGTCTGGGCCTGCCTGCCGTCCTGAAAATCCAATCTGCCAAGCCTGGCAGGTCGATTGAGGAGGGCCTGAGGCCCCAGGTAGAAAAAAAAAACCTATGGGATCCCTTTAATCCACACTCACCGGGACGAAAGCCACCCCACTTCTCTGGGGGGGTGTCTCCAGGCCCATTCCCAAAGGGTCCGTTTCTCCTCCACACCCCCTCTGGTCTTTCAGGTTGACCACCTGCGGCCACTTCCCAGGCTCTCTTTTATCCTTCTCCTCCTCTCCCTTCTTCCAAGAACACCCCCAATTTTCTCCAGCTCTCACCTTGAACCCCCGGAAGCGTGGTTTCTTCTTTGTTTTTTTTTGGAGGGGGATCAAAACTGAACCGGTAGTCAGTGGAAAAGCCCCTGAGCCCAAGCTGCGAGCCACTCGCTGCTGAACGAGTCCAAAGGTCGGTGAGAGTTCGGCTGATCCACAGAACCTGTAGGGAAAGGTCTGCGCCCTCCCTCCCCCCCCCAACTCCCCCCCACACCCAGCGAGAGGACAATGGGCGCGGGCAGGCCTCGCACGCGCGCCCCGGGTCCCTGGCTCCCCGGCACTGCCCCACGGGCTGGCCCGGTCTCAGGGTTCCCCCCCCCCCCGCCTCTCCGCCCTCCCCACCACCATTTGCATCTTGCCGAAAGCCGGCCCTCCCCGCTCATTTGCATATCTTATATGGCCTAATGGTGGCGGTCATGGCAAGTTAGAAGTTTTCTGACTCCTCTCGGAGGAGACTCCGGGACCCCAAGGGAGTTAACAGGTGTCGGTGGAGGTTGAAGGGTGGAGGGGTTCCAGGACTTGGGGGTTCACTCGTGAAGCTCCCCTCCACCCTGCTCTATCACACCCCACCGACAGACACCTGCCTGCCCTCTCTCGCCCCCCCACCCCTCCCCCCATTTTTTTCTCCCCCCCCCCCTTCTGTCCTTGGAAAATGGTGTCCAAGCTCACGTCGCTCCAGCAAGAACTCCTGAGCGCCCTGCTAAGCTCCGGGGTCACCAAGGAGGTGTTGGTCCAGGCCTTGGAAGAGTTGCTGCCGTCCCCGAACTTTGGGGTGAAACTAGAGACGCTGCCCCTCTCCCCCGGCAGCGGGGCCGATCCCGACACCAAGCCGGTCTTCCACACTCTCACCAACGGCCACGCCAAAGGCCGCTTGTCCGGGGACGAGGGCTCGGAGGACGGCGACGACTATGACACCCCACCCATCCTCAAGGAACTGCAGGCGCTCAACACCGAGGAGGCGGCCGAGCAGCGGGCCGAGGTGGACCGGATGCTCAGGTAGGCCGGCGGGGCGCGGGCTGCGCGCGCGGAGCGCCTGGAGCGCCGCAAGACACCCCCGGGCCTTGGGCTCGAACCCCTGCGCGGAGGATTTCTGTCTGTCTGTCTCTCTCTCTCTCACTCACACACACACACACAAAGCCGGATTGCTGGGCTTCTCTCCCACCCAGATCTTTTGGCGCCCCTCAGCCAGGTGACCCAGAATCAGGCCTGGAACCTCCATCTCCTTCGGTCCAGGCCAGCGTCCAAGGGCTCCACGGGCCTTTTTCGTTCCTTCCCCGTGGGGCTGGAGCTCCGCCGGGAGTAGGGAGTAGGGGAGGTGCGGAGTCTTGGGGCCCTGAGGTTTGCCCAGGTGATCGAAGGTGTGATGGGGGGAGTGAAACAGCTGTGCTGTCCCGGGAACAGAAACTTGGACGCCCCTACAAGCTTTCGTTCGTGCATTTTTATGTTTCTCCCCCACCACCGCCGCCGCCTTGGAGCGGGGAGTCCAAGGCCGGCCCCGGGAAGCCGCCTGTGGCCCGGGGGCCTGGAAGGCACACTCGGGGTGGGGTGGGAGGAAAGGGCGCTCCCACCGGCGGCGCCCGTGCAAGGTCCAGCTTTATCTCCCCTTCCCCAAACCCGTTTAGATGTATTTGCAAAAGGGAGGAATTGTTTGCCCGAAAGGGTCAGGGTAGACAGAACCCGCGCGGGCCCGGGGAATCTAAAGCAAAGCCGGGTGGGCTGGGGGTACACGTGGCTAAGACCCCCAATCGCTGGGGGTGGAGGGGGGGGGTTGATCTTAATTTGAGAAAAGGAATGGTGTGTGTGTGTGTGTGTGTGTGTGTGTGTGTGTGTGTGTGTGTGTACAACTTCTCCTCTCCCGACACCCCAGAGAGAATTCGGGCTGGCTTGGCTAGGCTGTCCTCTTCCCAGGCAGGCCCTGATCCTTTTGCCGGGTCCTCAGTTGGCCGGCACACGCTTTGACAGCTAGTTACTAATTATCCAAAGAGTCCTGCGGATCCCGGAGACCTCCCCGGGAACACTCGGCGATAGGAAGGAGCCCCAACCGATTCATGCGCTCCCCACACACCCACCCCCGTTGTCCCCCACACCGCACTCCCGGGACACTTGAACGCGCGCGCGCCCTCGGTTTCAAGGTTTCCCAGGCCAGGATTTCAGTTTCTCGGTCTACAGAGCTAGTTTTTTTGTTTGGGGGTGGGGGGAGTTTGGGGGTGGGTGGGTATGACCTTGCCTTTGGATTTGCGCCCTGGGGAACCTACCTGGGGGGTTACCCTCTTGCTATGACCATCGGCATGATTTCTAGGGTTCCACCCACCCACACCCCAAGAAAATTTCTTGCTATACAATTCCTAGATTTGAGGTTTCCTCCTCCAGCGTGACTTCAGGCAGGCCGGAGTTAGGGAGTGGGAAGGGGTGTCTGGCCGAGGCGGAGAGGGGGCGAGAGTAGAGCCCCCCCCCTTCCTCACCCCCAGAGTCTGGGCGCCTAGGAGGCCTGGAGGTTGACCTGGAAGCCTGGAGAATCCACCGGGCTCCGGGCGCTGGTCACCGGGAACCTAGGCCCTGCCGCCTGCGGCTGCTGCGTTTAAAAATCCAGGAAGCCCCAGGAGACCCGGGATGCCCCTCTCCGCACCCCGGCCCCCCGCGCAGGGCTGGACGCAGTGGAGATGTAACATCCACTGCAAGCACGTGGAGTTGGGGTGTTATTAATTTATTCCTATAAATCATCAACAGAAAGATACACAAAGAGCCGTGATTAGGTTGAAAAGAGAGGCGGGTTATTCATTGGTCAAGTTGTAAATGCGGCTTAGAAAAGGGAAGGAAATCAAAACGCAGATGCGGGGGGGGGGGGGTTGCTCGCTGCTCGTCCGGCACACTCCACCCCCCCCCAGCTGCAGAGTGCCCCCAGTCTCCGGGGATCCCCCTGAGTCCCGGCCTGCCTCGGCTCCCCAGCCTCCCAGCCCAGTCCCCGGGGCCACCGACGCTCGCAGGCCCCGCCGGCCGAGAGCCAGGCCCGGCCCCGGGGTCTGCGGACCCACGCTAGGGTGGGGTGACCGGGAACACCAGACCGATCCTGAGGCTTTTCTCATCTTTCCCCCCCCGCACCCCCCGCCCAAGCGAGTGCCGCCTTCCATATCCCCAACTCCTGGAGTGTCGGACTTGATTAAAAGTAATTTTTCACGAAATCGCACGCGGTTCCCAGGTCACTGCGCAGTCGGCTCCAGAGTACCAGGCACCCCCTCCCGTCCCACCCACCCTGTCCCCCCACCCCACCCCGAGGCGGAAAGAAAAGAAAGCGGGGCGCAGGGAAGGGTGAAGGGAGGGTCACTTTGTGCCGCTTCCCCCCCCCCCGTTGTCCTTTACACGCCCCGCCGGCGAGGGCTGGAGCGTGGCTGGGGTTTGGAGACTAAGGGAGCGAAGACTTGGGACACCTACCCTCCTCCCTTCCGCCCGGACACACACACACATACACGGGCTTCGTGCTTCTGATGCGTGGGTAGCAGAGCCAGTGTTTGGGAAGGAGCCGGGCGAGCGGACACGAGGTGGCCGCCGGGCTCCGGAGCGGCTTTGACACCTGCGCTCGCTCGGAACACAATAGCCCGGCGCGGCTCGGGCTCCGCGCTGTCGGCCCGCGCTGGGAACACCTGGAGGGCAGCCGAACGTTCTAGTAAAACGCCCCCAGGGGCTCTCTGGGCTCCTCCCGGTGAATATACCCCAGGAAATCTGGGGGTCAGACAGGTAGAAAAGGTGTCGTCACTTCTACGCCATCTTACTCCAAGTCGGAGTCTTGGCACCCTGAGCGAGCGCGGTGGTTTCTAAGGGTTTGTGGGCGCTTTTAGTTGGTTCTTTCTTAACCAACCGGGTTAAGATTCCACTCTTCCCGCACAACCCTGATACCTTATACCCGGTGTCGCTCGGTTTCTTAAAAGCACGCAGAATGACCCCAGGGAGAACATTTAAACAAAAGGAAAAGAGCCAAAGAAAACGAACGCCTTACGGGTTTGTAACCTTTAAAATCTAAAGACCCTTTTCCCCCTCCTCCTCTTCCTCCTCCTCCTCCTCCTCCCCGTTGAAGCTATTGTTGATACCTGGTACAAGTATTTTTCCATCCCAAAGATATCTGTGGAAATATTTGCAGAAATAAGCTATTAAATACGCTCTGTCTGTTTACATGGGCATGTCGAAAATGGTTATCACCTTATTTTTCTCTGGCTCAAGGTGAATTCTCCACGTTTGAAATTGGAATGCATTTCTTCTGCTTTTGTTTTGGTTTTGGTTTGTTTTTGCTCGTGTAGTTACTTCAAGAACTAAGTCGTATTACTTAGAAGTAATTTTATAAATACTGAAGAAATGTGTTGCTAACTCATATATAATTAATCTGAAAAGTCTGCACTTCTCAAAAAATTCTCTCCAAGCTTGGTTTCTCATAACTGTAATATCAACTGCTTGTTTTTAAAGACCAACTAATCAAATATGTGGATGCTAATTTGATTACAGAAGGTTTTAATGCATTAAGCTAAATTAATTTCATTTGATATACAGGCACCATTTGTAAAGAAATGCTTATTACACTATCATACTATATCTGTTTGGGCCTCTGCTTTGACACCAGTTTTTTATTGTTTCATCTGAAACCAATTTTCCCCTTATTTTTTTTCCATGTCACATCAACGTAATTGTGTGTGTGTGTGTGTGTGTGTGTGTGAACATTCAGCCAAGAGATTTTTTGTAAGTCATATAGCTGCATTAAATCAATAATACATGTGAATATTTTGCTTCTTTGGTACTTTTGTTCTATGCTATGCACTATTTTCTTAATTTAAATATCTCTCATTTTAAGTCACCTAATCAAGGGGCAAGAAAAGACTAGCCAAATTGAAGGTGTTTTAAATCAGTGAACCTCAAAGACACTAATAATATAAAAGTTTCTTACATACCTGTGTTTAAAAGAAATGGAAAGTTCTCAGCCCAAACTTGAAATGTATGAGAAACATCACCTTCCTGACTCCCTTACCTATCAGAGGAGAAACATAAGAACACAGGAAACAAGGCATTTGGGGATGCTTAATGTCTTAGTCTGAAACTGAAATTATGTGTCCTTATTAGATTTTATTTAGGAGGCAGAACTGTGGATACTTTCTTTCCTTGCAAAGTGTGATTCCTCAAACCCAGGAGGAAGGCTACTATATTTGTGAACACTTTCCTAAGACTTTGAAAACCATTTCACATTTGGCTAAGCTCGTTAGCTTGAGAGATGGACACATATTAAGTACCTTGTTACCCTTATTTGATAAGAGACTATGACACCCTTTCAGAAAGAATATAAGATGGGAAAGGTTTTGAGCAGGGAAAACCCCTATCACTGAAGAATCAGTGTACCCCCCAAGCTCCTCCAATAGGACTCTTCCCTTTTAAGTATTTGGAATTGGAGGAGATGGTAAGAAAGGCAAATTAAAACAAGAGTTTATGTTGTTGTTGTTCTGCTTAATGAGAACAAATGCTGGAGGTCCTTGCTCACTCCTGAAAATGAGCTTTTTCCCCTGCTCATCTCAAGAGAGAGCATATTCCATATAGGGGCCCTCAATGCCTTTTTCACTCTGTGTATGTGTGTGTGTGTGTGTGTGTGTGTGTGTGTGTGTGTGTGTGTATGGGGACTTGAACTCAGAACCTAGGTGGTGGTGCTCTACCACTCAAGCCACAATTTGGTGGTTAATTGGAGATAAGAGTCTCACAGACTTTCCTACTCAGGCTGGCTTTGAACCAAGATTCTCAGATCCCAGACTACTGAGTAGGTAGGATCACAAGTGTGAACCACTGGTGTCTGGCTTCATTTTAGCCTTATACCTCTCCTAGGTGAAAAAATATGTGAAGATTATTTTTGATAGAGAGAATAGGCAGAACCCCTCGCATGCAAGTATTCCTCCCTGGCCATCTCCACCAACACCCTAACCATTTGCTTATCTGTCTAGTGAGGACCCTTGGAGGGCTGCCAAAATGATCAAAGGCTACATGCAGCAACACAACATTCCCCAGAGGGAGGTGGTAGATGTCACCGGCCTGAATCAGTCACATCTCTCCCAACATCTCAACAAGGGCACCCCCATGAAAACCCAGAAGAGAGCTGCCCTGTACACCTGGTACGTCAGAAAGCAACGGGAGATCCTTCGACGTAAGTGATTTAACCCTGTCTTTGCCTTAAGTCTGGAGGGCTTTTGCTCTCACTCTGACCCCTGTGGGCTGCCTCAGTTTCCTCTCCATGAAGGTCTTCAGGAGCCCTTGGCAAATATGAGGTGATAGGTGAATGGTGAATTGGCTTGTGTTGTGTTCTTCTCTCCTAGTCCCTTGTTATATTCAGCCAGGTGCTTTGACAAGCCCTTTGGTGACTGCAGCATAATTTTTTTTTTGGTCCACTTCCCCCTCCCCACCAACATTCTTTTCTTTGAAACTTAAGTAGATGATAGAGTAGAATATCTTCCACAAATTAAGCAAAGTATGTCCCTTTGACGTATGACCACAAATTAGTCTCTTAAAAAATCATTTCGGCTGGACACTGATGGCTCATGCCTGTAATCCTGGTTACTCAGAGGATGAGATCTGAGAATCACAGTTTAAAGCCAGCCAGGGCAGGCACTCTTATCTCCAATTAACCACCAAAAAAAGCCAAAAGTGGAGCTGTGGCTCAAGTGGTAGACCTCTAGCTTTGATCCCAAAAGCTCAGGGACAATGCCTAGGACCTGGGTTCAAGCCCTAGGACTGGAACAAGCAGTCAGCAATGCTGGTCACTGGCTACTGTTATTTCCCTCCCCTATAGGGGGCGGGATTATTTAAATGATGAAGACATCTGAATAATCAGAGCCCAAAGCTGTTCTTTGGATTGGAGGGGCTGGGAGTAAGTCCTGAAGCAATTTAAAATGCTGACTCACCCTTACCAAAGTTAGTGGAGTTTGAGGACTTCAGCTGGCCACCCTAGGTAAGGGAGAAGCTGCTTGTAGCTGGGTCAGGTGAGATGCAGTGAGAGTACTGCACCAGGAATCCTGGCCTCATCAATTCTTGTCATTCCCAGTCTCATTCCAAAGCTTTCTCCCTGTCCTGAGTCCTTTCCCTTTGTAACACTGAGAGATTTTTGTTTTGAAGTTGAGTGATAATCAGACTACACTGGAATGATAATGGTAGGAATGGTAGATTTTTTTTTTAATTTTTGGAAATGATCCTTTAACATTATAGTTGAATTATTTTTGATCCACACCTTTCCCTAGGGAAATTTTTTTTTTGGATTAGCATACACAAGATTATTCTCTGAGCCATATGTTTCTCTATCTTGGTCATGATGTTAATTTCTGGCACTTTCTGGGCAGGGTTTTTTGTTGTTGTGGTGGTGGTGGTGGTTTTTCCCTTCCCTCTCATTGGATGGTCACATTATCCTTATTTGGGGAGGAGTTTTAGGTGACACTGCTCAGAAGTGATTGTGTCTATATTTATTGTCTCAGTGTGGGGGGGGCTGGAGGAAAGGTTTGGGGCATGCTTATTGTACTCTGGTTGTCTGCGCTGTGCTTGCGTTGGAAGCATGGACACAGAGTAACTGGAAAAAGTCAAGTGAGAATTGTTTGCTACTTAGGGAAAGAGACCCTTTCAAGTTTGGGCTGGCCTCCAAGCACAATGACTCGCTCTTTAAGGGTTTGTGTTCCTGACATGAAGCAACACTCTAGTTCCTGCAATGTCTGGGAGTCCTTGGGGGGCTTGGAGGGGGGGCATGAGGGGGGCATGTGCGCGGGCACCATCTCCCAAGCCTAAGAAACTCCTAGGACCCAGCCACCCTACCACCCAGGCTGTGCTGACTTCTGTTCACTGTCAGGAAGGACAGGGCAGCACAAGTTCTAGGACACTTTACAAAGTTAATGCCAGTGTCCAGAAGGGACCTTTTCCTCCTCATTATTATTGTTTTTAAAGGCACACAAAGCATAAAACTTAGACACTTTCCTTCTATAAATGCCATATGTACACCTATTCTACATCAAGCAGGATGCTAGGCTGTGATTAAAAACATGGGTCCTTTTCTCCAGGGACTGTGTAGCCTTTACTCCATAAGGGAGTTGATATGTTTAAATAAATAGTGACAACCACTTTCTAAGAGCTGTTAGGAAGGTATGCACAAGGAACAACAGGGAATTGCCAAATCACCTGGAGACATCCTGGAAGGCTAGGAGAGGTGACATTTGAACCTAGTCTTACAGGACGAATGCAAGATGCACAACATGGGAAAGCAATTGAGGGAGATAAATAAAAGAAGGACACAAGGGAAGATGATAAGTAGAAAGAGAAAGAGGTGGAGGAGAATAAAAATAAGATGATTCATGATTACAAATTTTCCTGAAAAAAAGCTAAGAACTGATAGATGGTAGCATGCATGGACCTATTTACATACAGAATCTCCTTGTCCAAGCTCTCTCCCAAGCCCATGAAGTAACTGTCAAGGCCACCTGCTCCAAGGTAATTTTTATAGGCAATGAACATTTCCTGTCCCATTAATCCAAAAGGAAGTGGAGTGGAGCTGGTGGTGGCTGGAAGACTTATAGCCCCTCCCAACACTGGGAGGGGCTAAAGGCTAAGCTGCTAAGATTGGTAGAATGTCAAGCAAGTCCCCTGTCTGGCGTAGGTGTGTACTGGGTTCAGAGTATTACACAGGTGTGCCTCTTCCAAGTACTGGAGAGATACTGAGGCAGACCCCACACAATGGGGCACCTGGGTGTCCCAAACCCACCATAGACAAAGCCTCAGCAGCTGGTTTTGCCACTTCTGAACAAGTTCATTGGAGGAATCTGGGGTGTTGTGTGGGCTCCCTTTTCAGCCAACAGTGAGTCTTAACCTGGTAGTTAGGAGTCTTGGAGTCTACAGGCTGAATTTACACCCAGGCTCTTGCCTTGAGCTATTGTAGCTTTTGGCAAGGCACTTGACCACTCTGAACCTCAGTTTCTTCATCTGCAAATAGACATTACAATACTTCTCACATCCAGAGGCTGTGAGACATGGAGAAAGAGATGCAGTTAAAGGACACTGAGCAAAACTCACCGTAGAAGTTCTTGCCAGGCACCAGTGGTTCACACCTGTAATCCTAGCTACTAAGGAGGCTGAGATCTGAGGATCACAGTTTGAAGCCAGCGTAGGCAGAAAAGTCCATGAGATTCTCATCTCCAATAAACTGCTTAGAAAAAGCCAGAAGTGGTACTGTGGCTCTCATGGTAGAGTGCTAGCCTTAAGCACAAAGAGGCTTAGGGACAGCGCCCAGGACCCAAGTTCAAGCTTCAGGATAGGCAAAAAAGAAGAAAAGAAGAGAAGGAGGAGAAGGGAGGGGGGAGGAAGAGAGATGGAGGAGGAAGAAAAAGAAGAAGGAAGAGGAGGAGGAGGAGGAGGAGGAGGAAGAAGAAGAGAAGGAAGAAGAGGGGGAGTTGTTTTTCTTTACATGTTAACTGTTATGACATAGGTTCATGTCAAACAAAAACTCTTGAACTGATCCCAAATCCTTGGGATTATCCACATTGACTCTGGCTCAGGTGGCATGCAGGGCCCACATAGAGAGCTACCATGAAGGCCAAGTATTATAGCAGTGTGAGAACCCTTTGACAAGTCTGACTACCAGAAAAATTTGAGTCCTCATCAGCTCATTGACCCCTGACCTGGGGGTTAATGCTCTTAAACACTGGTTAGTTCTACTTAGTCTTTCTGCCCATCCATTCCCCAGGTGAGGAAGCAGAGGGACCAGGGAATCAAGTAATATTATCTCAGGGAATCGGCTACTTCCTGCTTATAAATTTAGCAGGCTGTTAAAACCACTGTTGGGCACCAGTGGAAACAGAGCCCTATGTAGTCCTAGAATCACGCAAAGTAGGTGGCAAGTTCTGTCCACCCTTCAGTCAAACTATTCATGAACTTGGCCCAAGGGTCACTGGTTAAACAAAGCCCAGCCGGGATTTTAAGTTCAGGCTTCAGAGCCTGGAGCAAAATGGAACTGAATCGTTGATAGATAGCAGGATCTCAGGTGTGTAGACTGCAAGACCCCAAGGAAGGCTGTTGAAACACCAAGTCATGACTTTTTTTTGCAGATAGATTCAATTTATGTTTATTCAGAACTATTACTATATAATTGGATGCAAATTCAGACACCTTAGGGATATAGAATAATTTTGGAGAGTTAAAACATACATAATATTATCATGTATAAATCATTCTGAAAATTTAGGGGGAAAAACTTGGTGAAAGTCTTCATTTTTTTTTAAACCATCGCAATTGCTGTGGGCCATGGTTATTACTCCAGTTAATGAATTGTCCCCCTACAAAGAACACCAATTTCCCCTTGAAAGCTACAGTTTTCTATGCCTCTTTTTAAAAATGTATCATTTGTTGTAAAATAAATTAAAAAGTCATGATTCAAACTTTGAGATTTGTGGATCCAGTTGTCCAAAGGAACAAGAAAGATAGCACTTCAAGATGATAGCATAGGGCTGGGAAGGTGGCTCAGTGGTAGAGTGCTTGCTTTGCATGCCTGAGGCCCTGGGTTAATTCCTCAGCACCATATAAGCAAAAAGAAAAAAGCCGGAAGTGGTGCTGTGGCTCAAGTGGTAGAGCGCTAGCCTTGAGCTGAAGAGCTGAGGGACAGTGCCCAGGCCCAGAGTTCAGGCCCCACGACTGGACCCCCCCCCAAAAAAAAACAAAAAAATGATAGCATAGCCATCATTTTGAGGTATAACTGGAGTGGTAGAACCCCTGCCTTGCTGAGTCTGAGTTTGAACACACACACACACACACACGAATGCACTCATTCACACAAATGATGGCACTTCCAGGCTTATTATTATAAGGCTTCAAAGGTCCTGGTCTTCAGTGCTCTGAGACTCATGGAGATCTGTAGGAGTGACTTCAGGAGTTAAAGAAGAACAGCATTAAAAGCCAGAACATGGGGACCAGAGCTAGGAAATTTTGTGTGCATCCTTCCTCAGCACAGTGCTTGGTTTCTCTGTCTATTCATCTGTAAAGTGGAATCAATCAGCCCTGATGTACCCTGCTTCGTGCATATGTGATGAGAGGTCAGCACAATTCTCTTCTTTAATAAAGTGAATATCAAATCTCATTTCAACATAGGTTAACATGTCACTACTAGGTCAAACTGCCCTCTGTTTCCTTCATTCAAGAAAAAGGTGCTGAGGATCACTAAGCCTGGACCCTGGAAAGGGGCAGAGAGCACCATTCTATCTATGGGTATCTTTCTCCAAGGCCTTTAGCTGCAAACAGGGAAGGACCTGTATTTTGGTCTCTGTACTTCCTCTATGCCTTTTCCTTCATGAGTTATCTCCCTTAAAAATGGTTCCCGGGAGACCTTTGAAATTGCACTTGAGCTCCAGAGATCATCCTATTTTTCAAATACAATGCTCCAGGAATATCTATTTTAAAACATTATGTACAGACCCTGAATGTGTTGTATGGAGTAAGCTGTACCTTTGAATGGCTTTCTCTGGTACCTGAGAATGAGTTGAGGTCATCCCTTTTTTGTCATCAAAATTAAGAGTTCAGGACTCAGAGCGTTGCTTCATGTTTGGCCAATGGGCCAAAGAAAAGTAGTTGTCTTTAAAAAAAAAAATCCTTGGCTATAGTTGAGCCAAGCCAAGCAAAGAAAAAGGCAGATTTGCTGGGTCAGCAGTGATAGGCAGGGAGAGATGTCGTTAGCCATACTGCCTCTAGCCCCTCATATAACAAGAGTGAAAAGCTTAGGAACAAAGGGGTCTTTGCCCATCCGTCCGTCTTCCGTCCGTCTGTCCATCTGTCTGTCTGTCTGTCTCTGCCAAGTGAAGGCTACAGGTCCTATCAAATCTACTCCTTTCTCTTTTCAGAGTTCAACCAGACAGTCCAGAGCTCTGGAAATATGACAGACAAAAGCAGTCAGGATCAGCTGCTGTTTCTCTTTCCAGAATTCAGTCAACAGAGCCAAGGGCCTGGGCAGTCCGATGACTCCTGCTCTGAGCCCACCAACAAGAAGATGCGCCGTAACCGGTTCAAATGGGGGCCCGCGTCCCAGCAAATCTTGTACCAGGCCTACGACCGACAAAAGAACCCCAGCAAGGAAGAAAGGGAAGCCTTAGTGGAGGAGTGCAACAGGTAATGATACCAGAAGCAAGCAAGCACGTGGACCCAAGATTCATCCCCTTCCTCCTGGGGTTGTGAGACAGTTATTCAGCTAAGCGTGGCTAAGTTGGGGGTTCCTAAAATGTGATCCATAGAGCTGCTGTTTCAGTTCCTTGGTAAATAAGTTTAAGAGCTATCACACGGATATTTCTTCTTAGGGTGTCACAGAACATACTAATGTAGTTAGGAGTCCTACAGTTAAGAATCCATGTAACTTATTGGTGAACCATCCCAGAGTCTTTCTTGTGTGGAATACTTACTAATAATTCCCCCATAAGTGACTATTCTAAGGAAGATACTCTGGAGAATCCTGGTGCAAAATATAATGTCAGCAAAATGAAAGTCATGTCTTTGAACTCTACCTAGGCCAAGGCAAGACTGTGTCTTAGCTGCAGATTCTACCTCTGGCCTCCACCACTGTACACCCATTAGTTGCCCCCCCTCAAAAAAAAACTTAGGTTGGATGGATGTGGTAGAATACACCTATAATTCTAGCACTCAAGAGGCAGCTACAGAGGAACTAAGAATTCAGGCTAGCCTGGCCTATAACAAAAGACCCTGTCTCAAAAAAAGAAAGGAAGGAAGGAAAGGAAGGTAAGGAAGGAAGGAAGGAAGGAAGGAAGGAGGGAAGGAAAGAAGGAAGGAAGGAAGGAAGGAGGGAAGGAAAGAAGGAAGGAAGGAAGGAAGGAAGAAGGAAGGAAGGAAGGAAAAAAAATAAACTGGGCAGGAGAGTAGGAATTGGTTGGATCTGTTTGGTCTGCTCTGTCTACCCTGACAGTAAAGTTTATTCTCTGTTAATAACAGTGTAATTTAAGAAAAAAAAACTACTGGTAATCCTTAGGATATCATTTTGTTTCTTTCCTTTCTTTGCCTGACTTCCATATTGATTTAAAAACAAAACAAGCCGGGCGCTGGCAGCTCAAGCCTGTAATACTAGCTACTCAGGAGGCTGAGATCTGAGGATCGCGGTTCAAAGCCAGCCCGGGCAGGAAAATCCATGAGACTTTTACCTCCAATAAACCACCAGAAAACAGGAAGTGGCGCTGTAGCTCAAGTGGTAGAGCACTTGCCTTGAACTGAAGAGCTGAGGGACAGTGCCCAGGCCCAGAGTTGAAGCCCCATGACCAACTCCCCAAAAACAACAAAACAAAACAAACCAATTCCTTGCTCTGGTCAAGGCCTGTGGCCCCTTTCTCTGTCTCTTGCCTGGCCCAGTTTGGACAGTGGAAGGACACAACCAAGGAAGCCAGACTAGGAAGCAGGAGGCAGAACAGTCAGCCTACATATGTCACAGAATCCTCAGGCTGTCCTGCCCCATGTGGATGAGGATAATCAGGCTCTCTCTCTCTCTCTCTGTCTCTCTCTCTGTCTCTCTCTGTCTGTCTCTGTCTCTGTCTCTCTCTGTCTGTCTGTCTCTCTCTGTCTGTCTGTCTCTGTCTCTCTGTCTCTGTCTCTCTCTCTCTCACACACACACACACATCATTTAGTGCCATCTACAAACACAGTTCATACCTGGGTATGGGGTTTCTTCAGCACTAATAAAAGAGGGGCCACTATTTCCAGCTGCCTCTTTTATATCCACGCAGCCTGCCCTTTGAGGGAGCTCTGGCTATGAATAAGAATCTGCCTTCCCTGGCATTCTTGGGGGTTTCTAAACTCCAGAAGCTCAGAAGTCCTCTCATAGGGTTTGGAAGGGACTCTGTAAGATAGCTAACGAAGGACTTTGCCTTTTACGTGGTAGGAAGAATGGAAAACTAAGGAGGTGTCAGAGAGCCCTGTCTGGGCCTTGTCTTGAAACTGTCTTGTCTCTGCTTGCTCTCCTCTGATCAGAGCCACACTGGAGACTTTTGCCCTTCCATCCAGGGCAGCATATCATGCTCTAGGCTTGTGCTATAGGTCTCTGCTCTAGTCATCCTCATTAGGTCAGGATGAGGCTTTTCCCCAGCCCCCCAATTGCCCCTCCACTTCTGTATACTCCTAACCAAGGCCTCTGTGAACGTGTATTTGAGGCCAAGCACCAACAACTCCCCAGCCATCCTCATTGACCATTACCCTCTGTCCATTCCAGGGCAGAATGTTTGCAACGAGGTGTCTCTCCCTCCAAAGCCCACGGCCTGGGCTCCAACTTAGTCACTGAAGTCCGTGTCTACAACTGGTTTGCCAACCGCAGAAAGGAAGAGGCATTCCGGCAAAAGCTAGCCATGGATGCCTACAGCTCCAACCAGACGCATAACCTGAACCCCCTGCTCAGCCATGGCTCCCCCCACCACCAGCCCAGCACCTCTCCTCCAAACAAGCTATCAGGTAAGCAGGATCTGGGCCTCACTGCCTCTAAAAGTATCCTGGCCAGGCGCCAGTGACTCACACCTATAATCCTAGCTGCTCAGGAGACTCAGATCTGGAGGATCACAGTTCAAAGCCAGCCCAGGCAGTAAAGTTTGTGAGACTCCTATTTCCAATGAACCACCAGAAAACCAGAAGTCGAGTTGTGGCTCAAAGTGGTAGAGCTCTAGCCTTGAAAAGAAAAAGCTCAGGGGTAACACCCAAGCCTTAAATTCAAGCACCACAACTGACCCCCCCCCCACCAAAAAAAGTCATCATCCTGTTCCTTCCTACCAGTCTGATTTGATTCAAGATTATTTCAGAGGAGTAAATGCTCTGGGATGGCCCTTGAACTGGTCTCTTCTCATTGCCAGAATTTTCTCATGAACAAGTATATGGCTTGGGTGGGGATTCTTCCAACTCTTTGTGGTATAAGGGAGAGCCTGGTCCCCAGGAAACCTTTTGTCCCTGTTCTTCTCTGGCCTGTTCTTCTCCCTATGTGGCTGCTGAGTCAGCCAGTTAGGGTTTTGCGTAGCATTGCCTTGTTGGCCTGGTAAGGTCTGAACTGCAAACCTAGGGGTTGTGGTGATGGGGAATGTCATCCTGGCCACTCTCTACCATCCTTGGTCAAACCAGCATTCTTCTCTGATGCCAGCTGAATCCTGTGGCCTTTAGAGAAGCGCTGCTCTGTATCCTACTATCTGTAGGATAAGGTCTGGTCAAGCTTTGCAATGATTGATAAAGTTTTTACTCTGTGCCCAGCTCTGGCTTGGGCCCAGCTCTGGCTCCCTGATACCAACGGGGTTGGGTTTATTAGGATGGCAACCTACATTTTTCTTGTGGAAAAGCACCCCAATACACTGAACATTGTGTAGCTACTGGCTGAGTTCAGGTACTTGTCCTCGGCCTTGGTTTCTTCCAGGAAATCTGCCTTCTTACAATTGATAGGTTTATGGTTGTCTGGTGCTCGGGCAGGCAAAACATAGTCCAGCCTCTTACTCTAGCTTAAGGCTTGCAAAGTAAAAGTCAGCAACCATCCTGTAACTCTGGAGTGATTCTGAAACCTGTTCATCCCCTCACTGGCAGAGTGTTTCTGATGGGAAAGGCCCAGGAACTGATCCAAATATTGGGATGATTTGTGTCATTAAGACACACTCAGAGCCATCAGCTGGGCAATGCATAGGCATTTTCCCCGAGCCTGCCATGCCTATAATATAGCCCCTCCTATGGTCTAACAGTACTAGAATGAAACATGGACCTGAGCTAAGGTTTTCCTGGGTCCTGCTCCCATAGAAAGGAAAGGTTCATCCCCAAGGGATGAACATTTAGACTGTTCTTGAAAGAAAAAGATACCCCCCAGGCAAATGCTGGCTGAATAGCAGAATAATCTAGATCCCTTATGGCAATTCAAAACAGAGTTTTGAGGGTAGTAGATGATGGTGTGTGGCCCACATCTAACCAGGCTGGAGTACTTGCCCACAGTGGTGATCTCCTGAGTTGAATTTGGGAGCCAGGGGAAAGGGGTGTGGCTGGGGCAAGGGATATTGTTGGAAAGACAATGGCCATTGTGCTGAGACCTGTGATCTCCACACCAAAGTCAGGGAGCCTGTAAGCCAAACAAAAGCCCAGCAGCTTTCTGACAAGCTGGGGTTGTGCCCAGGTCACTGCAGGGTCAGTGGTTAGCTTAGGCTTTCTGTATCCTAACTAGAGATACTAAGGAAAGCTAGAACGTTAGGGATAGAGCAGATATTAGAAACCTCCCAGAGGGGCAGCAGAGAGGGACTGGATATCTGCCCCCCCCCACATACCCCCCTCAGGTAGGAAGCTGAGAAAGGCACACCCCAATGGAAATGGGTCCTCTGGGGTAGCCCAAAAGTCTGAACCTTTATAAAAATCATGGAATGATTTTTAAAGCTTCAAAGAAAGAAGCTAAGGCCTAGAAAGAGGTAGTGAGTTGACAAAGCTATGCAGAGTGATGATCATAAACAAGGACTAGATGTCAGGTCTGTTGATTGTTGGGTACCATACTTTCCTGCAATAGAATCAATGCTCTGAGTACTAACCAAGTCCTGGCAATACACTAAAGTCAGGCTGGGGCATTCATCTGAGTGGTAGATTCTAGGGACACATGGCTCTGTCCTCTTGGAGTTTTATTATGTCAGAACTAGGACTGCAGTTATCCTTGGGGGCTTTATGGGGGCAAGAAAGAAAATCTGAAGAAGTATGGGTCATGGCAGATATTTTCAGTGGCTGCCTTCTCTCTAGCTAACTTTTCACAAAAGACTCAAGCCCATGGACTGGGTTTTCTGAGTCTAGTTTTGAGTGCTTTATCCAGCCACGTGTTAAAAATGGCTGTTTCCTGACTATAAAAGAGAAAAACAGGACCTACCTTATTGGGTGAATGAATGACCACCATCTTTCCCAACAAGCCACATAATTAATATCATCATCATCATCATCATCATCATCATCATCATCATTCTTAGTGTTATGGAATGCTAAACAGGTGGCAGTGGAAAGAATGGCAGGCGGTAGAAATCCATCTTCTTTTGAATTTTATTCACATGCTGGGGGTTATTCCTAAGAAGCTGTGGGATATTCTAGCTCTGGGACTGGAAGCAGAAGTGGCCTCAGGGTTGTTGCCTAGGATGCTGGGGTTGAGCCTCAAGTCCTTGTTTCCAGGTTGGAGGATGGCATCCCTTGAGCTAGGACAGTGCTCCTAAGCCATGTCCCCAAGGCTAGGCAAACAGCAAGCTGGAGACCAGGACTCAGACAGGCTTTGGCATGCAGGGCATCAGTGTCCTTTTTTTTATCATGGTGCCCTCTGGTCCAGGCACGGTTTCTGTCTATGTCCAAAAATATAAGTGACAGTAGAACACAAAAAGACCTCTGTTTTGCTAAGAGAAAACCAACACCCAGAGTCAGCACTAGTAATGTCTTAGGCTGGGAGTTGGGAGATATCCAATTCTCCACCCTTTCTTCTTTCCAAACTCTGGTGTGTGACCCAAGAGGGCTGGCCATACCTGTGAGAAGAATCTTCCCCTAAAACCCACTTCCTGGAGAGGCTGAGCATCCTCTCCGAGTCCCCTCCCTCCCAGCCACACTTTGTGGCCCTCTTGCCCACGATGATGACCACAGTGTGACCCTAGGCCTGGAATGTCCAGCACAATGGGAGGGGACGGGAGGGACACTTTGCCTCTGTCAGCAGCCGATTGGTTACAAGATGCCCTACAAACACATTGTCAGCAGAATCAGCTGTTTTCAGCCGAGCCCCTCCTCAGCTTTACAATCACACACCAGCATGCAGCCAGGGGTTGTCATGGCTTTGTGTCCCTTATGCATGCTTAATTGACAATTAAGTTGGGGCTTTGAACCAGCCTGGCTGCCGCTGATAGGCCTTCATCTTTCCAGTGAGAGTCACAGGGGCACCCTTTGTCTGCTCTTCTTGGGGGCCCGAAGTTACTGTAGCAGGCTGCAGGCAGCCATTTATCTTCAGCCTGGAAGGCCTTTATCTATTCCCCCCTCCCCATTCCAGCAGGAGTCATCCCTGGTTATAGGGCCCATGACAGCCCATTCTGAGTCCATTGAGCAGGCCCGGAGTGATGGCCTCTACCTCCATTCTGGAGCTGAATCAAGAGAAAGGCCCCCAAAAGGTCAGAGGGCAGGGCTGCGGCAAGAAAAAGGACTGATTGGAGACTGGTGCTTGTATTGATTGGCTCAAGGAGGAAGTTGGCTGTGAGATGGGAGCTGGCCTAGTCTTGGCACAGGCTGTGGTATCATTTGCTGCCTGGATCCCAGTGGCCTTGCTCACTGTACACTTCGCTCTAGTCCGCAGCTATGTCAACCTAGCCACGGCCCCAAGGAGGCAAGGGGAATATAAAAGGTCTCCATCAATCTTCACTGTCCCACACATCATGTCCCTCACCTTTTGGGGAGGAAGTGGGGATTCATTTTCCTGGAAAGTGAGGCACAGTGAAAAAGAACATATCTTTCTAAGAAACATTATTTCTGTAGTTGCTTTTCCTCCCTTTCTGGCAAACCTCTATTTGTACCTCTTCCACCAGACTTGGCTGTCCTGACTTTGGATCAGAAATGGAAAAGAGAATTTGGCTTCCCCCTTTTCTCTAACACCCCTGCTGCCTCCTCCCCAGTGGCCTGCAGGAATATAACTTTAGGTCTGTCTTAAGCAAAGTTGATTCTTTGCCAGGGTACCTTGCAAGGATGCTTTTCTCCCTGACACAGAAATATGCAGGACCCAAGGAAACCTCAAAGGTACTCAGTGGAGAACTAGTACAGCCATCATTGACTGAGCGCTTCCTGGGTACCTAGCCATGGGGTGAGCATCAGCTCATTGAACCTTCCCAGTGAGCTTGGAGGGTAGATATCATCTGTATTGGCTTTCTGGATTTATAATCAAGGAAAATAAGATATTTCAGAATGTAGGTGGTTTTACTTTTTAAAATTATTATAAAAGGAATGTACAGAGGGGTTACAGTTACATAGGTAATGGAGTACATTTCTTTTTGGACAGTGTCACACCTTTCTTCACGCTCTCCCCAGTTTTTCCCTCCCGTCCCTGCCCACAGGTTGTATAGTTCATTTTCAACATAGTGTCTAGTGAGTAGCACTGCTGCATTTGTTCACCCTTTGTCCCTCCGTTTCTGTGCCCCCCTTGCCCTCCCAAAGACAGATACACAAACAAACAAGACAAAAAGAAAAGAAAACAGAAACAACAACAAAGAAAGAGCCTCTTGTTTCCATATCCTGGAGCTCATTTCGATAAATGTTTTATATGATCAGAGGAGAATGTAGGTAAATTGCCCAAGTTTATAGAGTTAGTAAATAGTAGGGATAGACATTGAGCTGTTAGACTCTAGGGCTTTTCAGGCAGAAAACCTACACACACACACACACACACACACACACACACACACACACACACACCCTATTTACTCCTTTCACACACACACTATTTTACTCCT